ATATATATATATATATATATATATATATATATATATATATATATATATATATATATGTATATATATATATATATATATATATCATTACAACCTAAAACACACCAGTGTATAAAGTTTACATTAGAAGAATAACCACAATTCTATCTATGAAAATAAGCCCGTTATATACTACTAACATATATATGTGTTAAGTTTTACAAAACTTGAAGCTTATAAAGTCTATAAGAATACAGTATTTTAAGTTTACAAAGAAAATACAAGATTTATACAAGACTTTTATTAGAACTAAAGTTTACAAGATTATTTTTTGATATTATCATCCTTTGTCAAAGTCAAGTCGTGATGCTGCTTTTACATTACATTGTTTTTTGTTCCTAAGCAAGTAGTTTTTAACTTTTCCCCTTTTTTATCTTTTGCGATGAGTTTCTTTTGTTAGTTGATTTGTTTTAGGGTTTTTTTTTCTTCTGACAAATGAATTTCATTTCTGATTGGAGTATCAAAATCCTTGTTTTTAACTGCCTACTTTTTCTAGCAGATGCTTTCGGGTAAGGTTTCAAAACTTCAGGTGAGAGTAATTAAGCAATGCTTGGTGACACTTTGTTCGAAAAACTTGTTTCATCATGTACTACAGGCATTTCAGGCTCCATGCCATCATCATGTGCTACAGTCATTTCAGGTTCCACAAGAATTGTGTTTACTACATTTGGATCAGCATGATCTGTAACTGATGATGGTAAATATTCATCATATTTAAAAATTTCTGGATTAAATGGCTCAATGCCAGCTACTTGAAATCCTCTCTGAATATTAGATGGTGAGAAAGCTTTTGTATATGGTTCGCAAACTATTGAAACAATATCATAAATGGTCATAGGTCTTGAATTTGTGACCATCCAATTATCACACGCAGCATTGTAAAACCTTTTTAGTGGTCCAAAAACAGTTCTATCCAATGGTTGCAATTTATGGGTACAATGGGGAAAAAAACTTAGCATTGTAATTCTATGTTGAATTGAAAGATCCAAAGCTCTTACAGAAATATGACTTTTATGGCTGTCGAGAAGTAACAAAACTGGAGATTCATGAGAACAGTTTGAATACCTCACAAATGTTTTATCCATTCTATAAAAATGCCTGAATTCATCCAACCAGAATGATTTGCAAATCCCACGCATCCAGGAGGACCTTCCTTTATCATGTAATCGTGAAATTTGACCCTAGGAAAAATAAATAGTGGAGGAATAGAGTTTCCAATTGCATTTGAAGCACAACATACAGTTACTAATGTTCTTCGTTCTGCAGATGTGATTCTTCCTACTTGTTTACTTCCTTTACCTGCTAACACTTTTACTGGCTTTTGTACTGTTGTTAAACCAGTTTCATCAACATTATATATGCAATAAGGATCAAACTTATATCGATTTCTTACTGTCTTTAGATTTTGGAAAAATTCTCCAACAGTGTGTCGCTTAAAGGCAGTTGATCGAGCAAAGCTAGTTGCTTCAAGTGTTCGTAAAGACAACTCTGGTTGTCTTTTCATAAAACCTTGCAACCAATCAATCCCTACAATTTATTCTTGATCAATGATGAAGGGCAAATCTTATTATTTTTTACAGCAAACTTGTATGCCAATAATCGTGTTGACTTAGTTGAAAGTCTATAGTTCATTTTTGATGCAAGTAGTAAATAACTTGACAAGCTTTTTTCATCTTCTGCAGTAAAAACTTGTTTATTGTTGTAATTAGGCTTAAAAGATTCATTAGGGTTGAGCTTCTTTTTATTACAATATCTTTTTAAGGTCATTCGATTTATGCTAAACTTGAGAGCTACAACATTCACTGGTCTGCCCTCTAAAACTTCATTAACAGCTGATTTCATTGTATCACATGATATAGCAACTCTGTCTGTTTTTTTTTTTTTAATTGTTTAAAAAAATATTTTATATAATAATATTATGTAAACTAATTGTAAAACTTATGTAAAACTAAAAACTAATGTTATTAAGATTAGTTTTTAACACTATTACATTTTAAAAATGAAATTTTAAAAGTTTATATAAAGATTTTTTATTTGTCATAAGTTTAAATGTATAAAACTTAAACAAAAAATTTAAGTCTTTTAATATAAGTTATATGGGGCACTTTGATCCTCCGATCAATGAGTCCCGCATAGTCAACGACCAATGTGCCCCATTAGGTACAGTTGATATATTGATGCCAATAACTTCTATAAATACAGTAACAAACTCAAAAAAACAATTTTATTATAAACTTAACACATATGAGTTTACAATAAATTGGTTGTAAAGTCATACGGAAATCTAATTAAAAATTTATTTGAATTTGTTTACAACTTTCAAAAATCACTTTTCATGATGAAAAACAGTCTTTTCAATTTTCTTAACGCTGAAGTTGATCTTATCAAAAATTATTAAGATTAATCAATGAATGGTAGTATAATGGTTAACTAAATTGCAATCTCTGTTAAATTAAGGTAAAAATAAACGAGTAAAAGCTAAAAAATCATACTGTCCCGGCGATCAGTGCGCCTCCATCTCCCCTACTATGTATTTTCAGTTTGTTAACCATTTTCAAACATCATCTGGTAAAGTATGATAAAATACTTCAATATCACATAAAAACTTCAATATCATGTAATTCAAAAAATGTCATTTATTTTCTATCATGTAATGGATTTGATGAAAAAATAACATACATTGGTAAAACTAATAACCTAAGGTTAAGAGCTAATCTACACATCTACACCTGCAGAACAGGTATTGGTTCAGATAAATTTAATCAGCATGTTTTCAATTGCCATAAAAATAAACCTTTTTTTGAATTATTTCCTATGTTAAAACTTTCAGATGAGAATTTACTTCTTATTTATGAAGCTCACCTACATAAACAAGGACATGACACAATGAACATATAAATAAAAAGTAATTATTATTACAATGCTTTCAAAAAGATTTTCTTTCCAACAAAAATTAAGTTATACTATATTATGGTTAATTATAGTTTTTTTATATAAACCTTAATTACTCCCTTTTTTAACTTTTTATATGAAGTTCAATATAAAGAATTTTGATAGTTTTGTAAATCTCATACACAGCTGAAGATTTTATATGAAAGGCCTTCTGTATTAGAGAAAAATTTTAAATATTTGTTAAAGTTAAGTAATAAATATATTTTACTCATCTGAATAGTTTTTCTCTTGTTACTACTAACTTTTTACTTATATTTGTTAAATTTTTTTTTTTGCTAAACATTTATATATATATATATATATATATATATATATATATATATATATATATATATATATATATATATATATATATATATATATATGTATGTATGTATGAATATATATATATATATATATATATATATATATATATATATATATATATATATATATATATATATATATATATATATATATATATATATATATATATATACTATATATATATATATATATATATATATATATATATATATATATATATATATATATATATATATATATATATATATATATATATATATATATATATCCACGAAAAGAAAGATGAGTTGAATAAACTTAAGATCTTAAAATTCTTAAAATACTCAAGTATATTGGTGATGTTCTTAAAAGAAAAAAAAATACTTTAAAACATTGCTTTAAAATATCTAAACATCCATTTTGTTAACAACTATTTATACTTTGTCTACATTCGTCATGACTTTGTCATTATCAGCAAAAAGTGGTGTCAAAAAACTCACCAGATAGCAATATATTACCCGGGAGAAGTTCATCAATTTCAAATCGTCTGTCTGTCATAACTGAGTCATCAGGTTCTAATAAAGTAGTTATTTTTGAATGTTTTGTAATTTGAAAATCGGTACTTCTCCCACCATACATATTTAAAAAAATGCCACTGCACCATTTGGAGCAATTCTAATTAATCGTTATGTTTATTGGAGAAAATAGAGCTGATTGGCTGCAAGAACTTCTGGTTGAAAATATTCAAAAACAACTTTAAACAGCTCATAACTTTCAAAGCGAGTGTAGTTATAGTATAGTTAAAATGGCTTTTGTTATGTTTGAATTTGTCTATTACGAATTCTGTGAGTATATAAGCACCTTGTTGGTCTAGTATTTCATTTTTTTATTTAATGTTTTGCTTTATAATATTTATTTCCATACGAGCTAAGTTTTAATTTTAGTTTTTCCACCTCAGCTGCAAATTTTTCTTCAGAGGTTTTTCTTCTTCCGTGTTTGTATGTGAGGAAATAGAAAAAGAAAAGGAAATTTCTCTAAAGCATCTGCTTTTATTAGTTTTTTTACTTGATTCAAGTTGTAATATTTTTGAACAATGGATGGATTCTACTTATATATATTTTTTCCCACAGATAAAATGAGCTGAACAAACTCTGTGGATAGCAGTAGCCTAAATTATTTTTCTTTGTTAATGACATAGTATAAAAGTTCCTTTTGTTTGGAAGAACTATTGTAACAAAGTGATACACATTAAGTAATTCCGTTGCCTTTTTTATCTATTTTATGGATGGATGATTTATCCTAAATACAGAGTCTTTCAAAGATAAGATGCTGCATTCTTCCTGAAAAATATCAATTCTGACAATATCCAAACATTATTGCAATTGCTGCGGCATTCATTTATCACAATTCATTGTAAATTAGTACGAACGGCGAATTAAAAAGTTTTTTATACGCTTAAAATTAAAAATCTCATACCATTTATATTATCAAATAATCTCATAATGAAACAATAAAATGAAACATAGTTTTGAACTGATGGTTTAAAATGTATTTAATATTTTCGAAATTAATAATTTTTTAGCATTTGAATCGGCAAAATAAACAACAAAGATCAAATAGTAATGCATGTAATTATTAAAAATTTATTTATTTTATTATTTGGAAAGATAAAAGAATTAGTATTTGCATTTGGATGAAAAAAAAATCAAATAAGAACAAACCAGCGCAAAAGCCGTCCAAATTGTTGTAACAAAATATACAAAATGGCTCTTTTAGGCATCATATATTGTGGAATAATATTTATGGGTACAGGCTTTGCTATACTATCTACTGCAGGAAACTATTGGATAGCAAATTCTCAGGAATATAGGGGGTTATGGTATGCATGTGTTACCATTTATTCAGCAAACAACTTATCACCGAACGGCTTTTTATTAAACAACTATTTAGTGTGTGGTGCAATAAAAAATGAGTTAGGTAATTTTTTTTAGTTATATCATAACTTTATTTTGTTTTAATTTTTAAATTGATTTTTTATTTTTTACTATTAATGGTATTTTTTTATTTATTTGGAAAAAATGACAAGTAAAAAATCTTTTTTTATTTAGTTTCATACTTTTTAAAGATTTTTGTATCTAGAATTTTTATGTATCTATATTTTTGTTAGTTTTTAAGTATCTATATTTTTGTTATTTAGTTTTTATGTACCTTTTTGTCAGTTGGATTTTATGAATCTCTATTTTTGTAAGAAGGCTTTTATGTATCTATATTTTTGTATTTTTGGTAACAATATAAGACTTCACAAGATTTGCTCAATGTTTTGATATTTATATCATAACAGTCACTAAATCTTCCGAACAAATTTAGACGATAGAAAATATTTATTGTATTTTTTGTTTTTGCACACATTTTGTAAAAATTAAAAAAGTTAAAATAGTTTTAAATAACAATAACAACAAATTAGAAACAGCTGTGTTTGTTATTTGATATGTTTAGTTTTACCAATACCCAAAGAATGATGGTTATAAAATTGTTTATACATGTGGTCTACTAGCAATCTAAATAACAACATTTTTTAAATTTTAAATGGTGGTATTTAGGATGCTTCAAAAATTCCTAACGGTCTTATTGCAAAGCACCGCGAAAGAGAATTTAACCAGGCTTTCTACTTTACCATTTTCACTTATTTGAACAGACTCGGTATAAAACCTTGCACCTTTTGGTTCTAAGCAAGAACTCTTAAATTTAAATAAATTTTATCTATATAACTAGAAGATTTCTTCAAATTAATGTTTAGTTTATTCTAAAATTTTTATTTGCATTATTAGCCAAATATTCGTTATATCAACATATAATAACATCACAGCTGGTACATCTAGGTTCACTTTCGTAATTAAAACCTGTATGGTCACGTATTTGTCACGATCTACGCGAAACTGAAAACACAACACTTTGACTTGACTTTAGCACGTGTTTTACATAATTTCAAAGTCAAATTTAAACATCGAGTGCTTTTAATACTAGTTTCACACTTCTTACGGAAGTTTAGTATTTAATATTAAACTACGTTTTCGTAACGGTGAAAACATTTAATATCTTAACTGGTGTTTCGGTAAACTGTAAAAGTTAATTTCGCGGAATAGGAACCCTTTTCTTGACACGTGTTATTTTTAAGAGAACCCAGCAAAAACTTTGATGGATTCTAATATTAGTGAAATTTTTTTTTTCCACAACAACGTTAACCGGATACTCATATCTTAGACACTAGAGCATCATATAAAGCTCTGCATAAATTGATTATCCGGCTAACATATATGTTAACCATGCTCCACCACATAGTGGTGACCATTTTTTTCACAACTATAGTTGTGAAAAAAAAATTTCACTAATATTAAAACCCATCAAAATTTTTGTTTCTGAGAGAACTCTTTTGTTTTCAAACTTTTTCTTTTTTTGCAATTAAAATTGCTCCACCCCACTAAGTGGTGGAGCATGGTCACTACTATGTGGTGGAGCATGGTCCTCACATAGCAAATGTTTTTAACTGTTTTTATGATTTCAATTATAATGATTAAATTAAAGAATCAATACTATTTAAATCAATATTATTTTCAAAATCACCATATATAGTGATTTTCATATTCGCAACGAACGCTGAAGTGAACGCACGCTTTTTCGCTGCTTAAAGAAAATAAAATAGAAAATCGTTAGTAGTATTAAAGTTACTTATATTATATTAATTTATACTTATTGAGCATGTCTATCACATTTGTTGAAGTTAAAAAATTAATAACGGAAATGTTTATGAAGTTTAAGATCGAGACGGAAGAAATGCTTAAGCAACAAGAAAATACTTTTATCAACATAGTTAGTTCTAACACAAAAATATTAAATGATCGATTAGACAGAGTTGAACTTAACATACTTCAAAACTCAACTAAAATAGCATCAATTGCAAAGGAAGTGGAAGAAATCAAAGAAAGTTTAAATTTTCATGAAGATCTCTTTAATAAAAAGATAAAAACCGCCATTGATTGTCTTGCAAAAGAAAATCTGGCAAACTTCAAAATACAAAACAACAACAATGAACTTATAAGAATAAACAACAAACTCAGAGAGATTGAGGATAGGTCAAGGCGTAATAATTTAAGAATCGATGGTGTCCTTGAAAATGACAATGAAAGCTGGGCTGAATGTGAAAAGAAGGTCAAAGAAATATTCAACAACATATTAGGAGTCAAAAATGTAAACATCGAAAGAGCGCATAGAATAGGCAAAGTAGTTCACAACAAACATAGAACAATAATACTAAAACTTCTTGATTTTAAAGATAAAACTGAAATTCTTAACAACTCTTCCAAATTAAAAGGTAAAAACATTTTTATATATGAAGATTACTGCAAGGAAACAAATATTATACGAAAGACACTACATGAAAAAATGAAAATAGAAAGGCAAGCTGGCAAATACGCGTATATTTCATACGACAAACTTATTGTTCGCGATTGGAATTCCAATAAAAAGTAATATATTATCTTTTAAATTTTTATTATATTTTTACATAAACTTATTTGCTTTTTTTTATTATTATTATTATTTATTAATTATGGCATCAGTAAACGATTTTGAAACTTTTACTTTTTACGATAATGTTTTTTCATTGCGCGAAAACATTAACAAAGACATTAATTATTTTCATGAAATTAACAAAGAATGTGCTTATTACTATCCGTGGGAAGTAGAAGGGTTTCTATTTAACAATATTTGCAATAAAAACTTATATCAAATTAGAATTCTACACGTTAATATTCGAAGCATTAATTGCAATTTTGAAAAACTTCAAAATTTACTTAAAGAAACAAAAAACACTTTTAATACAATTTGTTTAACTGAAACTTGGGCTACTGCAAACGATTTAATTGATGACTCTAATTTTCATCTTCCTCATTTTGAAATAATCTCACTTGAAAGGCAAACTAATAAGCGCGGTGGCGGAGTTCTAATTTACGTTCATGAAAATATTAGGCATTGTCTAAGAAACTATCTTAGTATTTCTAACGGCGATGGAGAACTTTTAACCATTGAAATAATAATTGATCAAACAAAAAACATTCTTCTAAGCTGCTGTTATCGACCACCTGATGGTGTGGCCGAAAACTTGAGCATGTTTTTACTACAAAACGTTTTTAAAGAAGGAAATAATAAAAATAAAAAAATTTTTCTCATTGGAGACTTTAATATGAATTGTTTTATATATAATGATAACAACAAAGTTAGAAACTTTTATGATTCAATTTTTGAGGCTGTAGCTTTTCCATTAATAAATCGCCCGACGAGAGTGACAAAATACTCAGCAACTTTACTAGACAATATCATTACAACAGACATCTTTAATAATGATATAAAAAAATCTTAAATACAGATATCTCGGATCGCTTTCCTATTTTTCTGACTATACCCACTAACCAAGCAAATGTAAAAAAACCTAACAAAATCTTAACTAAACGTATTTTTAATCAATCAAAAATTGAATTGTTTAAAAACCAACTATCGCTACTGCATTGGAAGCATTTAAACTTTAATGATAACGCTAATAATCTTTTTGAAAATTTCTTTAAAACATTTTTTTCGGTTTACGATGCTAACTTTCCTAATGTTACTCATACATCAAAAACTAAAAACATAAATAATCCTTGGGTTACCAAAGGTTTCAAAAAATCATCAAAAACTAAGCAAAAGTTATATATAAAATACCTAAAAACAAAAACTCCTACAAGCGAAAAAAAATACAAAGAATATAAAAATTTATTTGAAAAAATCCGGAAAAGTTTAAAAAAAAACTACTATTCAAATTTGATTAATGAAACAAAAAATAACCTAAAACGCACTTGGCAAATACTAAAAGAAATAATTGGGAAACAAAAAACATGCTCAAGTTTTTTACCACACATGCTTAAAATCGATAACAAAATTTTATACAATCCACAAATTATAGCTAATGAGTTTAATAAATATTTTGTTGAAATTGGTCCAACCCTATCAGATAAAATTCCAATTACCAAAACTTCTTTTCATGATTTTTTAGCACCTCTTGATAAAGGCATTTGCTCAGATGAACTATCGTCCGAATTATCCTTTGAAGAGTTTGAAAAAGCTTTTAAAACCTTAAAAAAAAATAAAGCAACTGGGCCTGATGAAATAAACGGAAATATAGTTATAGATTGCTATGAACAAATTAAAAATATTCTTTTTAAAATCTACAAAGCATCCATCCAACAAGGAATTTTCCCTGAGCGCTTAAAAATTGCTAAAATTATTCCAATTCACAAAGAAGGCGACAGATCCAATATCAATAATTACCGCCCCATTTCTATCCTATCTGTATTCTCCAAAATCCTAGAAAGAATTATGTTTAACAGAGTTAATAATTATTTTAATTACAATAACCTACTATACAATAATCAATTCGGCTTCAAAAAAGATAGTTCAACTGAGCATGCCATTATTCAATTTGTACGCAACATCTCCAAATCCTTTGAAAAAGCTCAATATACATTAGGTATTTTTATAGATCTATCAAAAGCATTTGATACGGTTGACCATAATATTTTAATACAAAAAATGAAATATTACGGTTTAAACAATAATACTTTAGCGTGGTTTAAAAGCTATTTAACAAATCGTAAGCAAGTAGTCTATAGTAATAATGACGTTCAAAGTGGATCCTTAAATATAACCTGTGGTGTTCCACAAGGTTCTATTCTTGGACCACTGCTATTTCTTATATATGTCAATGATCTAAACAAAGCCTCTAACCTGATGAGTATTATTTATGCCGATGACACTAACTTATTTCAATCCCACACTGATGTTTACAAACTTTTCTTAAAAACTAATAATGAGCTTATAAACATTTCTAAATGGTTTAAATGTAATAAATTAACGTTAAATACTAACAAGACTAAATGGATTCTTTT